TGCGGCTGAATGCTGATCACCTGTCCCTGGCTGTCTTTGTACCCTCCAACCTGACACAGCTTCTAGCCCAAACGAAGTGCACAATCAACTTTTGCTTAACAAGTCAGTGAAGGAAATGAAAGGGGCAGGTTGTTCCTGGAAGAGATATTCCAGTTTAAAAAAAAAAAAAAGAATAGAGAAGGGGCTGGTGATATGTCACAGTGAGGCACTACAATGCCAAATTAAGATGCATTAGACATGGACAATGTAGAAGGTTGAAGCTGATTTTTGAAAAGAGTAAGTGAAATATGCTCAGATAACAAATTAAAGGAAAAAAAAACAAAAATTCATGGTTGCTCTTGCGGATCAGAACTTCTGGAACCCAGTGATGTTTCTAATATTAGGTTATGTGGGGTCAAGAATAGAAAGTGGTGTCTGAGGACTTGGGAGCAGCACTGCTTCAGATGGCATGACGCTGGACCTAGCTTTCCACACTGGGACACCCTCCATCATGTCCTGCGTGGCTTGCCGTCCCCAGGGAGTGAGAAAACTCCAAGTTTGTGCCTATGAGGAGGTGGCTGCCAGTTCTACAATACCTCTAAGCACGACTGCTAAGGGGCTTACTAAGTGTTCCCACATTCTTGGCATAATTTGTATCAGGAGGGATTTGATAGGAGTTAGATTTCTAAAGATTTTGATTTTAAATTATGCAGACTAAATGAACATCCAAGCAGTAATTGGAGCCCCCAGCTGAGTTATTTTGAATATCGAAGGTTACTGCGGAACCTCACAGCCCTCCGGATCCGAGCCACGTATGGAGAATACAGTAAGTGACTAACAAATGAATTTCTTCTTGGGTTTTAGTTTAGTTTGTTTCAGCTCTCTTAGGGGTGACAGTCTCAAAACAAGGAGATAAACTACATGACGGTTTTGACTTAGAGTCTCTGATTGAGTCTACATTTTTATATTCTGGAAGAAGTTTTTGAAAAAGAAATGTTTCTCTAAAAAGAGGTCAGCACCAATGAAGAATGAATGATACTACCTTGCTAAAAGAGTCTTGAATTTAGATTAAAGCTGATTATTTGAGGAAGACATGTCTGTGGCAGATGGACACGTTTCCTTAGCTGGGAAATGGCATCTACAGCACAGCCCTGTGTATTCCTTGAGTAGTTTTTCCTTTGGGGATTGTACTCAATGCTCCCACGTCCAGACATCATCTTGTAATCTGTGAATTCCCTTTTTTGAACTTCACGTGTTGGGTCCTCATAATCCCAGTTGGAATTATTTAGGCGAGAGTTCCTTAAGCTTTTCAGCACTTGTGTAGAAAGGAAGCATGGCTGCCGTGCACTGTTTCCATGTCACTGATGCAGCAAACGAAGCAGGAAGGAGAAAAGGCATTTCCTAACAACTTATTGAATCTTACTGTGTGCCACGCACATTTTAGTATATGCACCGTCTCATTAAATCTTCACAACAAACCTAGGAGATAGATACCACGGTTATTTCTTTCTCTTCTACAGCTGAGGAAATGCAGTTACAGAGAAGTTCTATGACTTGTCCAATTCATCCAGCTAGTAAGGGTGGAGCCAGAACTTAAACTCTGATTTTTCTGACTCCAGAGCCCATGCACTCAACTGTGACGCGGGACAGCTCTACCTCTCCCCCTCACACAGCTTGCTCACGTGTGGTATGATGTGTGGACACCACCTCTCTTTGAGAAGGAGTTAAGACAAGATCCAAAGAGTGACCTGACTTTAGGGCTTTAAACCTTACCATGTGCTACTTCTAACATGTTCTCTCTATTGCAGGTACCGGGTACATTGACAATGTGACCCTGATTTCAGCCCGCCCTGTCTCTGGAGCCCCAGCACCCTGGGTTGAACAATGTGTATGTCCTGTTGGGTACAAGGGGCAGTTCTGCCAGGACTGTGCTTCCGGCTATAAAAGAGATGCAGTGAGACTGGGGCCCTTTGGCACCTGTATTCCATGTAACTGCCAAGGGGGAGGGGCCTGCGATCCAGACACAGGTGAGTAAAATGACACCTGGACCAGGTGGCTGGGGGTGCAGCCAGGTGACTGAGGTCTCCTGTGGAAGAGACAGAGCTGTGTAAGACAGATCATGACTGAACTCATTTCAGAGATGGGAAAGGATTAAGGAGAGTAGGGCTGGAGTCAGGGACGAAGGGCATGTTGCCTTATTACACTCAATCCTTTTCATTGTGGAAATGCCACAAGGCTGTGAGAAAGGTGCTAGGTTACAGGAAATGGCTGTCGTGGTTCAGTGCTAGGTGGGGGAGGTGGTGTCGAGTTGCAAAGATCGTATAGGGAGATCAAAGGCAAGTCAGGGTCTAAATGAATGTGCCAACAAATGGTGTCAGGCCCTGCAGGACAGGGGTAATTGTATGGACAGCAGAGGAAGTGTGTGTGTCCACTCAGCGTGGGAGTGTGAGGATGAGGTTCAGGGTCTTGGCCGTGTTGGGATTCGGTGCTAGGGCAGCGGTGAATGCCGGTGCTCAGACACTGGGGAAAGCCTCTGAGAGGTAGACTCTGACCCCCATGCATCATCCATACGGAGAGACATGCATTGTCTGACGCTGCTCACGTCTTTGCTCCTCCATTCTTCCTCTGCCTCCCAGGAGATTGTTATTCAGGGGATGAGAACCCTGACATCGAGTGTGCCGACTGCCCCATTGGTTTCTACAATGATCCACATGACCCCCGCAGCTGCAAGCCATGCCCCTGTCACAACGGGTTCAGCTGCTCAGTGATGCCCGAGACAGAGGAGGTGGTGTGCAGCAACTGCCCCCCCGGGGTCACTGGTAAGGCCAATGGTCTGCTTCTTCTATTCCAGGGATTTACTAGAAATTATAATTACTTAGGGTTAACCTAAATGTCCTCTTTCTTTTTTTTTTTTGTCTTTTTCTGTGACCAGTAAGGGGATCACAACCCTTGGCTTGGTGTCGCCCGCACCACGCTCAGCCAGTGAGTGCACCGGCCATATCTGAACCCGCGGTGGGAGCGCCACTGCACTCCCAGCGCTGCACTCTCCGGAGCGCGCCACAGGGCCGGCCCTAAATGTCCTCTTTCTAAAGATAAGAATATTGCAATACCCGAGAAGATGAAGTAGATTGACCCAGGGCAGAGTGTACAGTTAATGGGAGGAAACATCTAAAGCTACTTTGGGAGGGTGGTAATGAGGAGATGAAGGAAAATTTAGTGACCTCTCAAATGTTGCATGTCTCCTCTGGTCAGTCTGAAAGAAGAATTATTTCCTCAGCAGCAGCCTTGATGGTATCACTCAAAATCTTACCACTTCCATGGAATGGCTGGCTTTTCTCAAAAAAGGAGTTAAGCCTCCTGGTGGTGCTGCTGTGTTCTAAAATCTGTGGTAGCGGTGAAGCGAGAGAGCCACCCCCCACTGCATGCCCCTGCTCCTGGGGGTATTATTCTGGGGTCCCGGGCAAAGCTCTTCTGGAGGGTGACCTGCTACTTGACGCCTCTGCTTCTGGTCTTGTTGCCAGTGGATGATGATCTGGGCTTGGCCATTGTCCTTTCCCAGGTGCCCGCTGCGAGCTCTGTGCTGATGGCTATTTTGGGGACCCGTTTGGGGAACGTGGCCCAGTGAGGCCTTGTCAGCCCTGTCAGTGTAACAACAATGTGGACCCCAGCGCCTCTGGGAACTGTGACCGGCTGACAGGCAGGTGTTTGAAGTGCATCCACAACACAGCCGGTGTCTACTGTGACCAGTGCAAAGCAGGCTACTTTGGGGACCCATTGGCTCCCACCCCAGAAGACAAGTGTCGAGGTAGGACTGCACCCCCAGACAGGTTGTGTCTCTGTGTGTGTGCATGTAAGCTTGCTTGTGTGTACGCATGGAAGCAAGGACACTGGCAGTTGATACCATGCTGCTGCTTTGGTTCTCTGACCAAACTGGCCCATTCACAGCCTGGACCTTTCACCTGTCGAAGACCAGTCTCCCTGCAGCAGGACTCTGGAAGACAGAGCTGGAGGCTCGCGAATGGGTTAAAGCTGGGTGGGGGAAGTGAAAAGGTCAGGTTTACATTCCTAAGTGGAAGAGGAGATAAGAGGGGCCACATCCTATGCCCGATCCAGAGGCGGGAAGTGGCTGCCAAACCTGTTACAGGAGAGTAATAAATGACTGGAGACTAAGCCTGAACAAACTGCAGTGGGGAGGGCAGAGGGCTGTAAAGGAGTTTAAGAGACCCTCTCAGGAAGTCAGCATAATTGATGCATGGAGTGGTTGTAGTCCACAGTTCTCCTAACCAGAACTGGCTTCAAAGCACAGCTATCACGGAACATTCCTAAGGCTGTTTCAGATCAAAGCATGAATGTGCAGATTGGTCCCCTCTCCCAGCTCCTCTTTCAAGCCTTTGTACATGTTAATTCTAGAGGCGAGTCCAGTTCTAGAGGTGCTGGCCTGCCCCACAGACTCACCCCCTAGTCACAAAGGTCCCACACTGGCTCTGTTGCTCAGAACTCAGGAGTTCGTTCATTGCAAGGTCCAAAGTGGCTCCGGGTACCCAGATTGGAGAACTCCTGGATCCTCAGAAAGCCTGAGAGGTCTGCAGGAAGCCCGGCACCTCTCACTTACACCAGAGTCTCCACCTGGAAATGTCTGAGGACCTCTGTGCAACCTGAGGCTTCTACCAAGGATCACAACTCTCTTGGGGATTTCTGGGCCAGACCAGTCCTGACCCCAACCTGTGAGTTAGCTGTGATGTGCTGGAAAGCACCCCGTCCTAGGAAGAGCCCACATGACTTTAGCAGTACTGAGTTCAAGTCAAGTTTCATAACATACCTATTGTATTATGCTGATTGTGCCAGTGAATCCCTCTGAGCCTCAGATTCCTCATATGTATGAATAATATTTGACTCATAGTGGTTGCAAAGATATAGTAAAGTAGCATATCAGAAAGCACGCTGTAAACTCTCTCTATAATTCTAGCTGTAAGGTGTTATTAATAGAAATCTATCTGTATTAGGAGTGTGCTTGGAGGCATACCAGGAGATAAGTCTAACACCATGTGAGTTCACAAGGGCAAGGAAGGGTTTTTTGCCATACATTTCTTCACTCAGCTGTCTTTTATCACGCACCTACCATGCATCTAATGTGGAGCTAGATACTGAGGTTATAGTGATGAATAAGTCAGTCCAGCTCCCAAAGAGCTCGTATGCTAATAAGAAAGATACATAAGTATGTGTGCAAATAATGATAGTACACTTTGAAACATAATCAGTGTTGTGAGCGCTGAAGGTAGAGGAACCCAGAGCATCACTGTCAACCAGAGAATCACTGTCATATTAGAGCAGTGTCCCACCTACTGTTATATTCTTAGCTCCTATAACAGAACCTGACACCTAGTTCTCAATCAATTTGACTGAATTAACAAAGGTACTTCTTTCTTGCTGCATTTTCTACACCAAAGGCTGCAGAGTGGAAGGAAGAGTGTTGGCTCTCCCCAAGCTCTCATTTCAGCTTGCCATTTAGTTGCTGTGTGTCATTAGGCAAATTACTCAGCCTCTCTGGAAAGGCTGCAGAGTGGAAGGAAGAGTGTTGGCTCTCCCCAACCTCTCATTTCAGCTTGCCATTTAGTTGCTGTGTGTCATTAGGCAAATTACTCAGCCTCTCTGAGCCCACATTCCATTAGTAAAATAGATGGAGATGTCTACATCTGGCACATAATAGGCCTGGAAGACATGTTATTCACCTTGTGAGCAAAGCCAGAATGCCTGCAGAATATCTAACAGCTTACAGTTTAACGAGAGGGAAAAAATGAGGGCTGCCAAAGAGGATGAGCTACTGTAATAGCTCTTCATCCACACACACCAAACAAACCTGCCAGATGATTTCTAGGACCTCTCTGTATCAGGAGTGTGCCTGAAGGCATAACCAGGAGGTGACTCTCACACAATGTGAGTTGACAAGGCCAAGGATGGGTGCTTTGCCCTTAGAGACTTGATCTTCTTCCTTTGTCTTTGCTGTACCTCCAGTTTCTGGGACTAGTTTGATGTGAATGCTCCATTTGTCTATCTCTTATCTGTAGCTTGCAACTGCAACCCCATGGGCTCGGAGCCTGTAGAGTGTCGAAGTGATGGCAGCTGTGTTTGCAAGCCAGGATTTGGTGGCCTCAACTGTGAGCACGCAGCTCTAACCAGCTGCCCAGCTTGCTACAATCAAGTGAAGATTCAGGTATGCGTGCCCCTCCTTGTCACTCCCTGCTCACTTCAGGATTCACTTCAGGATTCAAATCCCAAAGTGTCCACCGGGTGGTTCTGTCACAGCTCTAGGACCCTCCTAGTGTCCTGGGGATGGGAGTAGGGGTTACTATTTCTTTCTTTAGAAATTGCTGCTTGGTTTTTTTTGAAATCTGTATTGTAATAACAATAATACTTGGTTTATGTTCTTATATATATATATATATATATACCATTTTTTAAAAACGCCTTTTGCAGATACTTTCTCATTTGGTACTCAGATAACTTAGTCGAGCTGGAAGAAAAAGTATTCTGACCTCAGTTCTCATTGGTCAAAGTCTCAAAATACTTGCAGTTTTTCAAAGTGACATGGCCAGGAGAAACTGGGAATTCCCCCTGCCCCCCACCATGTCCCCTGACTCTGACTTAGGGGCTCTTTCCACTATGATGTGCCAACTTTCCGGCTGGATTTTTTCCAAGAGGTGTGAAACAAACAAAGAAAAACATAGACATATAAAAGACATGAGGAGCCCAGAAGGTGTCAAGGCTTTTCAGACAGGAATGTCCTCCAAAAATTTCTCATTCCATTCCAAAAAACAATGAACTTGATGTTGCTGTTAATTATTAATTATCATTTTTCTGGAGTAAGGAGTGGGGGAGAAAAAGGCCCAAACAGCACTAGAAATGTAGAACAAATTCACTGTTTTTTAAACTTATCTATGTAACAAGCCTTTTATAGCACTTTCTTTGTGCCAGTCACTGTTCTAAGTACGTTACAAATATTAACTCATTTAGTCCATGTAATAACTCTATGGAACAGTATTATTATTTTTATTATCACATTTTATGGATAAAGAAAGTAACTTGCCCAAGGTCACACAGCTAGTGAGTAGTGGGGCCAGGATTCAGACGGAAAGCGTGTAGGTTCTAGAATCTAAACTTTTAATCACCATGACATGCCAAGCATTTCTGAGCTGTTAGCTATTATCCCTGGGGACCTGGTATTGGACCGTGGTCTCCATCATCTGTTCTGATTCTCTTTCCTGTGTGGTTTCAGATGGATCAGTTTATGCAGCAGCTTCAGAGCCTGGAGGCCCTGATTTCCAATGCTCAAGGTGGTGGTGGAGAGGTACCCAACACAGAGCTGGAAGGCAGGATGCAGCAGGCTGAGCAGGCCCTTTGGGACATTCTGAGAGAAGCCCAGATTTCAGAAGGTGATGAAAGCCAACTTCCCTTCAGTCAGGAGAGAATTCATAGTCCTAGAAAGAACAGCTACACTAGTCATAGAATCTTCTGTGGGCATCAGCTCAGCAGGTGTCTCTAGCCAGCCCTTGCAGAGGTGGAAGGACTGTCTGTGACATCCCTCTGGGACCTGAATGATGGAGATAAAAGAGCAGTTGCATGCATTTATCTAGTGGGTTTTTACCGTTTAGCCATAAGTCAGTCAACACTCTGGTATGTTTGATAACTCTATGCTGACCCAGAAAGTGCTCATCCTCCCTTTCCTTCTTTGTGTTCAGGTGCTAGTAGATCCCTCAGTCTCCAGTTGGCCAGGATGAGAGGCCAAGAGAATAGCTACCGGAACCGCCTCGATGACCTCAAGATGATTGTGGAAAGAATTCGGACCCTGGGCGGTCAGTATCAGAATCGAGTTCAGGATACTCGGAGGCTCATCACTCAGATGCGCCTGAGCCTGGCGGAAAGTGAAGCTTCCCTGCGAAACACTGTAGGTTTTGCTGGGTTAGGGTATTGAGAATCACTGTTGTGTTGGGAGACCCACCTTTAGTTCTCACTGGATCACTTTCCGTCTCTCAGGTTTTCTGGTCTACCTCGCAGGTCATTGAACTTCTCTTCCTTGCAAAAGGAACCCTATTCTTTATGTCTCCGGCCTCCTGAAATTTCCCATTCTACTGTATTATGTTCTTCTCCCTAGTTCATTCATTTCTAACCACATCCTCATCTTGGCCCTTCCTCTTCTCCCTTCTTTCTGCTTGTTAGCTCGCAGAGGACAAGATTTAGTTTTGTTCATATTTGCATACTCAGCTCACAGCAGGGTGTATGCCTGTCATAAATGTCTGCTGCATGAATGAATGAATGGATAAAGGAATGAATGAATGAACAAATGAATGAATGAAAAGGGAAGGAAGAAAGAAAAAAGGGAAGGGAGGAAGGAAGGAACCCAATGAAGACATGGTTCTGAAAATGGAAAAGAAATTGTTGCCAATATAAATTTCTTAATGATGTACTTTGTAGTGTGGTAGGAGGGAGAGATTTGATTGAGCACTCTTGTATTTTTGAATAAAGACATCTATGGTGACAATAATGTAAGTGGATGGGTGGGAGATGAATAAAGAAAATTGGAAGATAGATACTGTGATGAGGAAATCACATTAAAAAAATGTGTATTGATTTTTTCCCTTATTACAAAAATGTTTATTATAGAAAATGTGGAAAATAAATAAAAATCCCCTATTGTCCTATTACTATGAAATAACCACTGTTAAAACTTGTTATATAGGGCCGGCCCGGTGGCGCACTGCTACAGTGCGCCGCTTGGGAAGTGCGGCGGCGCTCCCGCCGAGGGTTCGGATCCCACGTGCAGACCGGCGGCTCACTGGCTGAGCGAGGAGCGGGGGCAACACCGAGGGTTGTGATCCCATTGCCCGTCCCGGTCCGGTACGGGCGCAACACTGAGGGTTGCGATCCGTTGCCGGTCACGAAAAAAGACAAAAAGACAAAAAAACAAAACAAAACAAAAAAAACTTGTTATATATTCTATTGAATTTTAAATAAATATAACAATATGTACGTGTGTATATTTTTAAGTGCGTCTGTAGCTATATACAGACTTTTTTGAACTTGGATTACTGTTTGGTTCTTGTCTATATATCTTTTTTTTTAATGGAATAATCATGGTGAATAGGGACTCTTGGTGTGGCAGAGTGTGGAATCCCATGTGGCTAATGACAAGTGGCTCTGACAGGACAGATGCTGCTGCACTTGCTTAGGCTCCATGACCCAGTGCAAAGCCTTAACCAATTCTCCTTTTTCCACAGAACATTCCTCCCTCAGAGCAGTACATTGGGCCAAATGGTTTTAAAAGTCTGGCTCAGGAGGCCACGAGATTGGCAGACAGGTGAGCAGCATAATGCACCTCTGCAGAGAGCACCTCTGTTTTAGGTCGCCTCTGTAAGGCCAGACTTGAACAAGACTGTAGCGTATTCAGGACCCAAGCACCATTTTGATTCCTTCCAGGCTTTGTTGCAGCCATCCCCTGCCTTGAAGCCATATTTTAACTATTTGGCTTTTAGTGTACGTAGGTGGCCACTGGGCAGGGTTGTTTGGCAGGAGTTGGGGCTGGAGGTGTTTCTTTCCCAGATTTCTATGACTCATAGTATGGCTTTGATGTGTGTCAGATGTGATTCCTCGGGCCACGTGAAATGAATCAGCCTCTGGAAAAGAACTTCTGCAGCTTTCAGAGACTCCCATGCTCCCACACCAAGCCTGGGAACAAGTAGCAACGAGTTGTTTGCTAGCCCGTGGGGGCCAAGACTGCAGAGGAGGGACTTCCTCCTGGAAACTGGATCTGCAGGGCCCCAGTGGTAACAGGCAGCTCTCCCTGCACCCTCGCCTCTGACTATAAATCCGATCATGTTCAAAGGTTTGCTCCTAGCAGAGTGCTCAGCAGGGTGGCAGGCTCTGTTAATCCCTGGTGGAATTCAGTTAGCAGAAGGGGGCTGGCTTGTGTTTTTGTAGCATGAGCTGCCTCCTGAGTTCATTTTTCATCCCTTTCTAGAACCAAGAGGACAAAAATATCCGGGGGACTTTTATTGACAGGCTTTGTCCCCCTAGTGGTGGGCCCAATTTAGAGTTGCCGCGCAAGTGAGTAGGGGGTTGGATCCTGGATAAAGTAAGACCTAGGAGTTTCTTCCTGCAGAAAACAGCTTACAGATATGCAACGTTGTATCGTTCTATTCCTGCCCTCCTCCCCGCCCCCGACCCCCGCTTCCACTGATTATGCCGTAAAAGGAAAAGATCACCACAAGGTCAATTACATAAGACTAATTCTCCAGGGCACCTGCTTCTTGATAGTTCCTCTAATTCCATCCAACCTGGGTCAGTTCTGTTTGGCTCTTTTTTTGCTTGTGACCAGTAAGGGGATCGGAACCCTTGGCACGGTGTGGTCAGCACCACGCTCAGCCAGCCAGCGGCCATCCCTATACAGGATCCGAACCCGCGGCCTCAGCGCTCCCAGCGCCACACTCTCCCGAGTGAGCCACGGGGCTGGCCCCTGTTTGGCTTTTCTATGGCAAACTAGTTCCTTTACTCGTCTCCCTTTACTCAAATGAGCAACCTAAAGGAAGCCCTTCGCTATGAAAACGCTAATTCTTTGTTTTCAATCCTTTCAGCCATGTTGAGTCAGCCAGTACCATGGAGCAACTGGTGAGGGAAACTGAGGACTACACCAAACAAGCACTGTCGCTGGCACGCAAGGCTCTGAGTGACGGAGGCCCAAGCGGCAGCCCGGACCACGCTGCGGTGCAAGGACTTGTGGGAAAGTACGTTTCGATGGGTCCTAGCGTGGACCAGAAAACCTGGGTCCTCCCGGGGTGTAATGCAAACCGCACTTGGGGGGCACCATGTTCCCATAAAAATATGTATTAATAATAACAGGAGAGAAAAGATAATGAGAACGTTACTTTGGGGGAAAGCAGATATCTTTAAGACTAGAAGAAAAAAAGGTTAATCTAAGTAAAGTTGAGGAATCGCAATCCTTGGAGATACTGGTCACCCTCTGGTATTTGAAGGGTATGTGTAAACCCATCCGATAGCATGAGGGATCTAAAAATATTTTTTTTTCCTTTTTGTCTTTTTTCATGACCAGTAACGGGATCGCAACCCTCAGTGTGGCGCCCGTACCAGGACCGTCAACGGGATCGCAACCCTCGGTGTTGCGCCCTCACCGCGCTCAACCAGTGAGCGGACCCGTCTCTATATGGGATCCGAACCCTCGGAGGGAGCGCAGCTGCGCTCCCAAGCTCCGCACTCTACCGAGCGCGCCACCGGGCCAGCCCTAAAAATAATATTTTTATATTATCAAGAATTGAGTTGAATTTTTCTGACCCAGCCTGTATAAACTACAAGGCTTGTGTTTAGATTGTAGAGAGGGACACATTTGACACATAACCACACTGGGTTCTCCTGATTATTCCAACTACCTGTTTTTTAAACAACAGTATGAATTTTTGCTTTATAAAATGAGTGAATTCTCAAAGTCCTCTTTTTTTAATCTCCCCCTCCCCAAACAGATTGGAGAAAACCAAGTCCCTGGCCCAGCAGTTGTCAAGGGAGGCCACTGAGACTGGCCTTGAAGCAGATAGATCTTATCAGCACAGTCTCCGTCTTCTGGACTCAGTGTCCCAGCTTCAGGGAATCAATGACAAGTCATTTCAGGTGAGGACATCTAGCCTGTGCGTGTGATGTACAGGAGAAGAGCCATCAATGCTTTCTTCTGTGGGGATTCCATGATATTGTTCAACATTCAGCTTTTTCCTCCGTGTTGACTTTCTTGCCTCAGAGTAGGAGATATTTATCCTTCTCATTATCCATTTCCTTGTTCTTAAACCCCAATCCTAGTCTCTGAAAAGGTCTTGGCTCATCTTGAAGCTAATAGTGGACAAAAGTTTTATCTCTTCCTTAGTTCTGGAGACTGTGCTGATAAGATCTATCTGCTTCAAGGCCAGTCTCAGTGGCCTCCCTTGACAACTGCTGGGCCAGGGACTTGGTTTTCTCCAATCTGTTTGGGGAGGGGGAGATTAAA